AGTTCGGAAATTCCGTTGGGAGATTCAATAAATTTCTCATCAGTCCCTCGGCATCTTCGGCTAACTTATCCAAATTCACTTATGTACCCTCATAGTTAATTTACTATCACAGGCGCAACATATCACGAAAATTTCATCACAATAACGTAACGAATAGAAAAACAATGAGTACGCAAGAGCGTTAAAATCATTACGTTTAGTTATTGAACAACTTTAATTCAATTTAATTTAATTTTAATTTATCGCTGCAAAATTTATTGCTGCGAAAGAGAAAATAATACTGAGAGATCGCAAGCGAAAGGTGAGGCAGCAACTGAAGTTGTTACAAAGCCTACCTGCTGAGATAAGGTACAAAATAAAGATTGGAGCAAGTGTATAACACCATAATAAATACCGTAAAAAGAGAATGATCGTACAATACGCATTTGAAGAAAAGTAATTTAACAAAACAGTTATCGCAACATTAATTAAGCCGTAATAATTATAGCCGCTGAATGATTCCGGGAGTTTCATCTCTCTGCGGATGCAGAAGATGCAAAAAGCGGCGATAACACGCTCGCCGTCGCGGTTTCCTAGCCAGGGTAAAACGTTGCGCGTTTGAACCGTGCGTTTAATAATCGTGCGATTGAGATTCCGTTCTATCCCGGCGCGGCGAGAGGCTTCACCGCGTCGCCGCCGACTCGCGAAAATAAGTGCCAGGAAGTGGCCGTTGGCTTCGACAAAGCCGAGGCGCGTACACAGACGTTTCTAGTCTGTTCTGCCTGCCAACTGTTAGTTTATAACGGACTCGTCGACCCGTTACCGTTGATACTTCGTTATCCTGCCGTCGTCATTCAGCGGACGCGATTTCGCGAGGAGTTTAATCTCTATGGATCTCCCGCCTGCGCCGTCGTTACCGGATCCAGCACTTGCGACTCGCGCGCATTTTCCAACGGCTTGCCATTCACGGTGCGTAACATTGAACGACGGGGACGACGTGTGTCCCGATAATGCTCGGCGGCCACGGTGCACAGCTGCACTCGTCTAACCGGTTACACGCTGCATCCGACGGAAAAATTGATAATCACTTATGCAACGGTCACTACCGATTGATCGCGCATTTCGACACGTTGGAACCTTGAAAACGTGCGCGACCGCGACCAATATCGAACGATTATCGGTGATTGACGCGCTGTTATCTTTCCCGAAAGAAAGAGACTTGACAAGTTTTGCGAGTCTCTTCTCTCACGACGACTATTGTCGAATCCGCGATCTCGAGGCGTATCTGCACTGGGAAACATTTACATCGGGTAAACCAGTTAAATAGTGTTTTCAATCCACTCAATAAAGTATCCTGCTAACGCAGGTAGATTTCTAGGTGTCGCAACAAAAATTTATAGCAGCAACATTCTAGCGATACCTGCCGGAAAGTTTAGGTTTCATGACTAAAGCCAACAGCACACGATACTATTTTTCCTACTGGATTGCTTACGAGAGCCAATTAGGATTTAGCCTTAAGAGTCACCTGATCTAAAACTCTGCATCCTTATTGGCCCTTGCCAGTTATTTTTTCGTACCTAGAAACTTGTTGCTGCAGTTGCAAGATCATTTTTTGAGTGGACGGTTAATTTTTCCGACTAAATGATGAAATTTACCCAATGAAATTTAATTGAGAAAACCGATCATATTTTTTATCGGATATATCCGTTCGTTATGCAACTGGATTATTCGGTTATATTCAAATGTCACCGTGATACTTTTTTTCACTCTCTTTTCGCTTCTTTGCGAAATATTTTTTTTATCAACACCGTCGTGCCGAGGGGCGAGGTACTGTCCTCTATATGCACTTGCATCGCGGTGCATCTTGCACGGCCGCCTCTCGGCTCTGCTGCTATCCTGATACCGCGGCTGCAGTCGCATCTGCGCCGACGTGTCGCAACCGACATTGTGAGAAAGAGAACAACGACGGCGCCGCGAGACAGGACAGGTCGAGAGGCATTCGCCTTTAAGTATTTACATTAATCTCGACGAGCCCGAGACGCCGTCTCTCTGGAAGCGCGATTCTCGCGCGCGCCCTCCATCACGTCGAGCCCTCGCACCCTTCAGACGCGGCCGAATTTCAACTTGCGATCGGTCCTGTCGAAATATTTATTCACCGCGCTGACGTTTCTCCCTTACGTCACGGCGATCAGCGACGAATTTATCTCCGCGGGAGACGAAGAGTTGCCCTCGAAAAATAAATATAAACAGCCGGCCTTTTATCGCGACGCGCGATGCAAATTCGCTGCATTTTAATTATTCGAGATCTCAATTCTCTCGCAAGAAAACAGCAAGGACACGGTTCAGGTACAATGCTATATTCATTTGCCGTTGAACGCGCAAAGTTACTCGCTGGAATTTTTTCGCGAAATCCGAATGCGACGTCGAGCTGACCTAATCACCGATCGATTTTTATTTTTGAGGGAATAAAAATTGCTTAGAGCGCGTTCGTTCCTTCAAATGGTTTCTAGAAGACGGCAAAACGTGACCCTTGGGGAAAGTTTCGAGCTCGAAGAGTCAACCCTCAGAATTTCTCCTCTCGGTCCAGTTTCAGAATAAATCGTGCTCCTCCCTTTCGCTCCGGTTTCAAACTCTTTCCATACACAAAGACTTGCAGTTACATTGCAGCAACGTTGCAATATTTGCAATGCAATGTCGCAGAAACATTGTATGGACAAACAGTACGGTGCATTGGTTCAGTTCGAGTAATAATTAGGGATGGACATAAATTACTTGATTGTTTAAACACAGACATGCTTTTTGACAATACAACCCGAGGCGAATTGATGCACCACACTGTACATTTGCGTAGTTCGACCGATGTTACAGCAGCATTTCAAAATCATTATGAAAATAACGTTTTATGCTTGTGTATGTGTGTGTGTGTATCTTGCAGCAATTTTGCAACAGCATTTCGCAATGTTTATACAGTGTTGTGATCTTGAAATGAAACATTGCCAAAACGTTCCTGAAATCTTGCTGTGTTGTACGAGTTCTGTGTTCCTGTATCTCCCTCGTTCGTTTCTCTCTTTCTTTGTGTATCTTATTCGCCTGTACTACATGTTATGCATCTGGCAATCGTCAAACGCCTGGCCGACGCATATATACATCTATATACATATTGCATCTATACATAGGTATAGTATAAATTTGCACGAGGATGCAAACGGGAAGAGGATGATTCAGCGTGAAGAGATAAGCCGACACGTGGAATAAAACTTTTTCATGCAAGACTTTGTACAAAAACGTCCGATTAAATGTAATCGGGTAACCCAATTACATAATAACAAACGGATATATCCGATTAAATTGTACATCCGATGAAAAATGGGGTCGGGTTTTCGATCTTTCATCGGTGACTGCATTTCGTCGGATAAACTTCATCGGATGTAGCCATAATTTAATCGGATAACGTAATCGGGCAAATTAACCATCCGAAACACTATTTGATTGATTGATGCGATGGAAATTTTTCTCAGTGTACATTTAGCACGCAAATTTATACTATTTTTCACATACGCAGGGGGACACTTGTGTGTGTTCGGCAAAGAATATGTATATTTCATAAAGAATATCCATACTACTTTGTTGAATGTTTTATGCTGTCCCCGAGGCGTTCCATGAAAGATATAACGAGAGAGATTGTTCGAAATAGGAAGATGTCGGCCGGTTGTTCCGGGTGACGCATGAATAATTCATATGCTTGTGCTAAGAGAATTTGTATCGAAAAAAAAACTTCCTCCGATCAGTCCATGTGCGTCAGTTTAGAATATCATTGTTATTTTTAGTAACGTGTTTTAGCATTAACGTTAAACGTTTTTAACGTGTCGCTTATAAATCTCTCGTACGTATAACGTCAGAGTTGTATTTATAGTACAAGAGAGAGGGACAGATTTATTAAACCGTCATGCACGATTCTTGAATTCCGAGGTGTAAACCGCTAACCAAAATCATGCACGCCCCAGCAAGATCCAATGTCCAAACTGATGCCCAAAAAATGTCTAGTAATGCCGCAAATCTGTACACCGCAATGCCCTCAGTTTGCCCCTCGTTGAATTCATTTCAAGGCGAAAAACGTATGCGAAAATTCTGCTCTTGCAGAAGAGTTGCAACTCGACTTGCTGCTCGCGTGGTTTTCAACCAACCGACTCTTCTGTGAGAGCAGAATTTTCGCGTACGTTTCTCTTTCGAGTGAATTCGAGAATCGAGCCCCAGGGGGACGATTCCCCGTGGAAAGCCACGTAAAAGGGACCGAAACGCGACTCGGTACTCTTTGAATAGGGAAGCAACGCCGTGTCCTATTTGACTGTGTATTAACACTCGCGTGCGTCTATTTGCTAGCGAGACGTTACGTGTGACCTTAGAATTCATTTGCGTACTCGTTACGCGATGCTAGGTACCGACATAATCGCTACTTATCTCCTAGACCTATCTTTGGTATAAGATACAAGATACAGTAGACGCGCGAGTAGACTCGATAGACGCCAGAACTTCGATTTCGGGTAATTGTTAATCCAATCTTCCAAGTCATCAGCCGCCCGACATTTTTCTCGCAAGACGCATCAGGCTCCCGCAATTACATCGCATCGTTAACCTGTAGAGGGTCGGCATTTCTCCATTGAAATTTGTACTTTTTAAACAGAAAATTTAGGCGTATGTGTAATCTACAATGTTCCGTAAAGTTTTCAAGTTTGCTTCTGGCCACTGTAGTGGCCAGTCCGGCCTTCTAAAGGTTAATACCTCTCGCGAATCGCGCGCCGGTCGATCGCTGCCGCTCTTGCGGCCCATCCGCACGCGCGCACGCGTGTGTGTGTGTGTGTGTGTGTGTCGCGTGTCTGCGTGTCTGTGTCACGCGAAACTCTCGTCCGGGATACAGTTATTCGGCGCGCGAGTTCGACCAGCCTGTTCTCATTGTGGCAGTCGCACGCTGCTCCGCCGGCCACGAACACGACGACCATCAAGGCTCCCTCGCTCGCGCGTGGTCAGCCGCGGCGGACGAAGACCCATCGCGTTGTTCCGATGCGCGCAGTGAAGCGGTGCCGCGCGCGCGTAGCGGCACGTCGTCGTTGGCAGTTCGTCGTACGCCACGAGTAGTCGCGCGACAGCGGATCTTCCTGGGACGCGAACTCGCCGGCGGAAATCGCGGAGTCGTCGAGGGGGCGCGAACCTCGTCGGGACGCCAAGGGCCCAGCTCTTGCCCTTCAGTGAAAAATATGAAATTCTGCAAACGATCGGCTGAAACGATTCTTGCGAGCTTGCGGTATCTTCGTAAAGATCCACCCGTGTTCTCGCCGCACGCGATGCGGACGGACGTTAAAATCTCGCCACGTCTCGCCGGTAATTGTTGAGGAACCGTGAGGGCTCACGCAGTGGGAAGAGGAGCACGAACTCCGAAAATCGAAAGCACCTACGACTTGGGAAGCGGTATGCATGTCGGTCCCACCTGCGCAATTTCGATCGGAATATCGAGTCGCGAACGAGGAACTGGATGCCTTGAGTGAATTCAGGATGATTGCAAAATTGTCGCGCTAGTTAAGCGTTCGTAATCAACGTGGAAACGTCAATCGAGAACAAGTATAGTACAATTACATACGTAACGTAATTACCATTACCTCCTGCGTTATCGCGCCTATAATCGTTTGCAGCACAGCCAATAACGCGGACGGTGCTGTGCGTGCACGTTGAAGTGGACTCCCGACTTTCATGATTCGGAGAAACATTTCGCGGATAAAGAAAAAGAGAAACTTTGTCCGCTTCGTGCGCGAAGAGGCTTTTAATAACTAATTTACCGAAGAATGTGCCACAACAAAGCAATTAGTCATCCACCGATTGATACGGATGCCTCGTCATCCGGAATCTTATTTTTCTGAGACACAAGGCAGGCATCCAGCCTGTCCGGATTTCCCTCTCAGGTATAATATCTTCGCTGACGCCCGTGGATCGTAACTTTATGCAGATGTGCCACGTAAACGTGGTTTATCGGCGAGGACGACTCGATTCGGTATGTTCCTGCGTTCCTCGGCGACAGATACCAGCCGAATAAACGCAGATCCGATTCCCTCACCGAGGCGAACCCTCGCCACTCCGGAGCCTCCTGTTCTCCGCGTCGTGGACGACGCTGCGTGTGACTCGGCGTGTCCGACGTGGCCGCATTGCGGTGTGTATAGCACGTCCGGGTACGTATCGATTAGCCGGCAAAGTTTGCGCCGCGAGCAAACTCGCCGCGAGTGACCGCGAGCGGCGAAGTCGGAAGATCGAGGGGATCGAAACTTTGCCGGGCGGCTATAAGCAAGAGCGGCTCGATATACTCGTCGTAAATTCCTCATCGCGTTGGAACGGAAGGGAGAAAGAAGAGACGGGCCGAGCTCGAGGAAACTTGGCGGATCGAAGAGGCGAGATATCGGTTTACTTCTCAAGGCGAGACAGACAGTCTCTTGCACAAGGAGTTTTGGCAAGAATGTTGCTACTGTGCTAATCTCTGGGTGCAACGCGAGCTCAGCATTGATTTTATTCAATGTCACACTAAATGGGATGTTAATGTTACTTTATCTTTCACTTCGCTATTACGAAACTAATTCGCCGAGATCGCTACAGGTGGGAAAGAAAAAATAGTCTGCGAAGATCAAGTTTGGGCCTCCTATTTAAGAATATCGTTGGACACGTGAGATCAAAGAGAATCGCTAAAAAGGATTTCAACGACTTCGTTTGGAAGCCAGAAGGACAAATCTCGGCGCATGCCGAGACACACGCGAGATAGAGGGAGAGAGTCTCGTGAGCTCGCGCGATAATCACCAGCGATTACGGTCCAAGACCGTTGTCTCCCGAGAGGGACAACAAATCGTTAAACCGGGGTTAAGTAATCCTCGGCGCATTGTTCGCCGTCGGCGAATGCGCGACGTGTAAAGTAACGGGTGTCCCCGGCCGCGGGTGCGCGATTGTGTGCCACGCGGGAAAAAGAGAAGCGAGGTGGGTGCGTGAGCGAAATAAAGAGCCCGCGCGTGACTTGACGCGCTTCGGACACGCTGCCGGATAAGAGGACTCCGCGGCCGCGGAAACGGACCGTTTCGAAATTCGATTGTTTCGCGGCTCGTTAAGGCAACCGTCGTGGAACCCAGCGGCTGCGGCCGTGGAGTGCGTACTTGGCGCGATTTTCCTCGAAACGCTGCAATTCCCTTCGTGACGGCGGCGACGGGAGAACGACGCGCGAAACGAGGAGGATACGTCGCGGGAGAGAGGTAGGAGGCGAGCCTTTGTTCAGTGACCTCCTGGGCCGAAACACTCGAAAAGGAACGGAATTGCAATTAACGGACTGTTATCCCAAGGACGAGTCTCTCGTTTGATTGTGAGACCTGTACTCGAGAGCGCATCGAGGAGAGCTCGTGGAAAGAAGAATCTCCCCCTTCCACCGGGATAAACCGTCCAGGAAGGAGCAGCGAGATTAATTAATCATCTTTTATTCCGAGGCGGAACTTGTTGTTCGAAATTAATCGAGCGGTCGCTTGCGGTACCTTGGAAATCGGGTCTATTCCCCGTAACGATTGTACAATCGGCTAGTGACGGCGAGGAGAAGAACGAACTCCAGTTTCGAGCAAGTTACATCTCCGCGTTCCGCGTGTCGTGGACGGAAAGGAGAACGGGGGGGAAGCGGGAGGATTTTGTCGGATGATTGCAGAAGGCGACGGTCGTTGACGTCGCAGCGTGACATGCGATGAGGATGAGCCACGATCCAACGATTTGCCGTCAGTACTTCTACTGCAGCCAGCGTCGACATCGCGTCAGGTATATATCGATCGTATAAGATTCGCGGACGACACGCGACAGAACATTTACAATACCGAGATATTTATATGAAACGTAAGACTGCGTTCCCGTTGTCCCGATTCCGATCGGAAGCTGGTTTGGATCGCGCCGCGCTTGAATATAATTAATAATCGCAAGCTCGCGGCTTCGATCGCGTGACGCACATTACCGCCGCATATCAATTAGCTCCAGCTGCTCATTGCCGGTCAATTATCGATCGGTGGACGAACGCGGACAATAAGTGCCAGGACGTTGCTATAACACGACTCGAACAGTAACAAATAAGTGCGCGAAGCCGCCTGAGGAGGAGCGACATATTTCGCGCTGACGTGTCTTATATCTATTTCCATCAACGTGGATTAACTTCAATCTCGGTTTGACTTGCTTTTTTTATCTTTTCCCAGTTCCAAAAAAGATGAAAAGCAAGTTAGACCGAGACTAAAGCCGATCCGCATTGGTAGAAATGGATATTATGTGTCGGCGATCACGTTAAGGTCGAATCAGACTAGCAATTGCCACCTCGGATTGGATTGGGATTGGCGAGCGACGATTGTCTTCCAGCCAATGGCTGCGTTCAGCAGAAGTCAGCGCTTAATAAGCGCTTTATGCTGATTGGATAGATCTAGCAGAATAGCTCTATTTCAGCACAGATCTCAAAGTATAATCCAATGAGCGCAAAGCGCGCTTAGTAAGCGCTGACTTTTGCTGAACGCAGCCAATGAGAGCCGACTAAATCGCTGGCTGCTTTGCTCTCATTGGCTAAAGGACACTCGTCAATCGCCAATTTCAATTCAATCCGAGTCAACAATCGCTAGTCTGATTCGGTCTTTAGAAGCTTTTCGACGTTCATCGCGCGATGTAGCGCCGATTTATTTAGCGACGTCATTGACGATCCGGCACTAAATCAATTAGTGCTGCAGTAAATCGTTCGTCAGAATGTGTAATTGATAACAGCAGAACGCGAGAGGAGGACACGGAGGGAGGAGGGAAATTTATCGTCGCGAAAGCTGTTTGCTCGGCCGATCGGAAGAGCAGACTCGCGTCCGAGAGCGGCGATTGCGATTTCATTCGCCGTGGCACCTCTCTTACGGTTTTACGGTCGTACGATTACACGCGGGACGATTCCCGCTTCCTCTCGCACGGCGTGCAATCAACAAACAGTCTCGTTGCATCCCGGTGTAATGCTTCCCCAGTCTCTCCGCGACATCGACTTAACGAACCGTGTCGTGCCGCAGTCGTCGTAACGTTGGTCGCGAGTCGCGGCGGCACGGCGCCACGGCGAATCGCCCGGCGTGTTTTACACGCGAGAGGACGCGGCGCCATTTCCGCCTCGGCCGATGTCCAACTCGCGCGGACGCGGCCTACGCGAACGATCCGTTCGCCTGGCGAACACTCGTCGAGCCCTGCTAGGTTTATTACGGAACATTGAGTTCAATTTGTAGTCCAATCTTTGACGAGGATCATGATCGGCGAAAGTGACTCCGTACACTTTAACCCTTTGAAGCGTACATTTTTCTATTGAACCATTTTTTGTGAAACTTTGTATACAAAGGTCTCTGAGGTCGCTGATTACGAATCTGTTATCAGATTTTCATAATTCCAAATGGCGGAATTTAAAACTTCAAAGAATGACATCATTCAACTGTAATCCAACTATGCTACGAAACATTATTTAGATATCATTAGGACCCATGGAATCTAAGTTCCAGTTAAAAATTCTTATAGAATATAAAAAATAGCGCGCGCGAAATGGCGGATGTGAAATTGAAATTTAATCCTTTCTTAGAATTTACGTATTCTTGGCATTACCCAGAGCTAACGACGTGGACGTGATGCGTCCCTAAATACCATAATCAAACGAAAATGCTGAAAAACTTGAAAACTTCAAAAATTCACGTACTTTTCGTAATGAGCGATCCCGAAAACCCCTTTGTACAAAGTTTTCAAGAAATAATTTTAAAAAACTTGATCAATAATGAATTTTCCCGAAAAATTGCTGTTCTCTCATATTGGTTTATTTATAAAACTTTTACAATAAATATTCAAGACTACTCAACTTTTATTTATGTTCTTTTATTGCTAAGAAACACAAAAAGTGCAAAAAAACTCGATCTAAATGCGTTAACTAGAAATTAAATAGCCACAAAGTAAAAACGTGAGATGGTAACGTGGGTGACCGCCATGCTTGAAAGGGTTAAATTGATGTGGAAATAGTTCTGTACCGAGCTCGATTGCATCACTGAGAAAAATATCCGATTAAGTATAATCGGATAATCCAATTGCATGATAACAAACGGATATATCGGATTAAATTGTATATCCGATGAAGAATATAATCGGTTTATCAAGTTTCGTCGGAACTGCATTTAATCGGAAAACTTCGTCGGCTATATCCATGATGTAATCGGAAAAATTAACCATCGGAAATAATATTTAATTGCTTTATCCGATGGAATGTTTTTCTCGGTGATGGAAAGATTATGTGGCAAGGTGAATCGTTTCTCGTCCGGTACCTTGCCAAATCTTCGTTATTGTTGGATAATTACGAAATTTTTCGTAAATTACTGGCCGGCATTTTGTGTCAAGGTCGTGCCAGGTAACGTACTCGTTTCGCGACCGTACTTCATAAATTAGCCGTTCTGGCCGCCGGCCTGAAAATTTAGTACGAGGAGAAAACGCGACGCGTATTTCAGACTTTTGGCAAGCATAATGGGACCGAGAAGGACCCGCGACTTTTCGAACGTCTCGCCGACGCGACGCGACGGTGCGGTCTTTGTTCAAGTACGGAAAACCGAGCGGTCATCGGCATCTCGGTAAAATGAATGTATCTCGACCTTGCAGCTTCTCCTTGAAGAAAAAAAATTGCACGGCGACGTCGACGCCGTGCAATTTCGCGGAGGTAAGGCAGCGTTAGATAAAAACACGTAATGTGTGTCAAGTAAGTGGGATACGCTACCTGCGGGTAGATCGAAAATGCCGGCTGATTTTTCGTAACGTGCGTAGTAATGGACGGAGCGGCCAGGGAGCGACGAGGGAGCCTCGTGGTTAATACAGCGTTTCCTTCAGAGAGTATGAAGTAATCGGGTTCCCCGAACACGCGATATTTCGTCTCTTATCTCACGCAATGTCCCTCGCTTGTTCGCTCCTACTCGACTTTCGCACATCTTCATCCGTGGAAATCTTCGAAGCTGATTCCCCGACGCGCGGCGACAAATCGAAGAGAGAAAAGCGGCCGCGGTGCGTGTCGCAAACGCGGGAAATTAACGCTTCTTTGTCATAATAAGAAGACGCGACACCTCTCGCGGAGACGACGACGTTAACTTTCTCATGACAGCTGCGTCGCGGTGTCGCAAAGCTCCAACGCGCGACGACGCGACGTCTCCCGCGCAGATCTTATCCATAACGGATTGCGGCAGAAACTCGGAGTCGAAATCGCGTTTAGCAAGACACGGTTAGATTTTTTTCTCTCACAGCCGCGTAGAGTTGGCTAATAAAATAAACTCGCTTATTCCGTTTGGAAGCCGGCCGTATGGCCGGGGTGTTAAACGAACTGTTAAATCAAATCAGACGGCTCGAGATATCTGGCATCGAATGCGGATCAAGGTTGCCAGATTCAGCGCCTCGGACAGTGCCTCGTACTGTTCTAAAAAAACATTTTACTAACGCAGGTAGATTTAGAAGCGTCGCAACAAAAATTTATCGCTATTTTTTGGATCCGTTGGAGAAATGTTTGTAACCTGCAACATTCTAATAATACCGAGGGACAAACCGCTGAGTGTATTGTGGTGTATAGATTTGCGGCATTACTGAGCATTACTAAGCATTTTTTGGGGCATTAGTTTGGGCATTAGGCCTTGCTGGGGCATTATAAAGATAAAATAAGATAATAAATCCCCACTGAGCATTAGTGGGCATTGGTGTACAAGATTTTGGTCAGCGGTTTCCCCCTTGAGTAATACCTTTTGGAAAGTTTAGGTTTCACGATTAAATATTAACCATTCACCTTGAATACAAATTAATTTCGATACCGTAGCTAAAGCAATCTTTGTAAAAGCCTGTATCCAATCTACAACTAGTATTCTTTTGCGTTGACATTTTCTTAAAGTCTTCTGCTATGTTATATATGTTATGTTATGTTATAATGTATGCACATTAAGACGTGTGAAAAAAACTCTGTAATGGAATAGCTGCAAGTTGATCGGCTACACATTCCTCGGAACTAGAACTTGGACCAAGTTCTAGCAATGTGGACACAGGTCTTAAGGACTATAACTTTATGTTCCACAATCAAACGTTATAATGGATGGACGCCGCAGAAAGACTTTCTTCCTAATATTCGCTAACAGCTCGGATGGAAATTCTGCTTTTGGTATTTAAATCGATTAAATGCAAAACATATGCGATTTCACGGTATTGGCTATTCATTTATATATCGCAGTTCTTTTTTCCCACCTAGAAAATTGCTGCCGCAGTTGCAAGATCATTTTTTTCAGTATAGCTAGGTGAGACAGGTGCAAGAGTCTAATTTATCTCACGTCTATTTCTACCAATGTAGATTAATTTTGACCTCGGTTTAACTTTCTTGTTACCTTTTTCTAGTTTTAAGAGCTGGAAACAGACGGAAAGTAAATTAAACCGAGATTATTATCGGTAATAAACGAGATAAAGTTAATCTGTATTGGTAGAAACAGCCATTAGTGTTTTTAATCGTCCAGATTGCCACTTAGACTCGTATTCTGAACCCTTTTTTTATCAATTAAAGTGCTTCTAAAAGTGGCTAATAAGCCTTCTGATTGGCTACAAGCCACTTTTAGAAGTGCCTTTATCGATAAAAGAGGATTCAGAATACGGGCCATAGAATCCGTTTAATGCACGACTGGGATATAGTCGTGCGCGCGTCACCACTCGCGGACTTAAACCCTATAACTATTAGGGTCCTGCGCAAGAGATAACGCAAGGATACATGGAAGAATGAACGC